GGGGGGGGGGGGGTTAGTACCATTAACTTTTGCTTGGGCCAAAAATCTATATTCTTTGCCAGAGTTCACCTTGATGTCAAAAATCGCTTCTAGTTTCATCTAATTACTCCTGGCTTTAAGGGAATGCTAACAAATCGTAGAAGCATCAGGCCTTGGATAGGAGTACTGGGAAGTTTAGTAATTTAATTGTAGCAGTCATTACACAGTGAACCGTTCACTAACTGCTTGACCCCATTTCCCATATTTCAGTCCTTATGGGATTTATTTCCCTTTCACCTTATTTCTTATGATCAGAAATTGTATTTTCCGTTTTCATTTTGCACAGTTTGGTGAACCGTTGGACTGAGATCACTTGATTTTTCCTCATAATAAAATTAACCTATTTATGAGTAGTCTTTTGACTGCTAAGGATGAGTGCGTCTTGAAACGATTAACGCATGTTTGTCTGCGAAGTCAGGGTTTACGGATCAGTTGTCCATCCGTACCCATCCAGTAATCGCACGGGACAACCGCTAACCGGTTAAGTACGTTTGAGAAAGGTAATGTCAGATTTCGAATTTCTTGAATAGACTCCACTTTTCTACCCCCCTCCCTTCCAAAGTTAAGTGTTCTATGACGCTTTCCTTAATTAGTTATTACCAAACTATTGTCAGTTCAAAGCACAGAGAACGTCACAACGAGATGGAATAGAGACCGAGACTAGAGTTGGATGCTTAGTACTAGTATGGTGTAAAGATGTGAGTTAGAGCTAGAACGTTTGATAACTGGGCCGAATTGGCAGGAAAGTTAGTAGAAAGGTGAACGGTAAATGCGAATAGTTAATATACAAGGTTCCAGTGGGCTGGGGCGTTAAATGATTTGCATGAGATTATTTCGTGGTGATTTCCATATCTTAGGTTACCATCTCTGCTCTCTGACGAAGTGGTTCCTGAAGTGTGACCTTCTCGGGTTGGCTCTCGTTGAGTTCTTCTGACTACAACTCCAACCAATCTCCACTTTAGCAACCGGTAACGTTTACTATTAGCAGTCTGCTTGTTGAGGGAGGAGACCAGATAACCTGAAGTGGTTTGTAGTTGCTAATTGATACTAATGTTGTGTGGGGGTTCAAATAGAATTTAGGGTCGGAAATATATCAATTGGGTCAGACGGTAAACTGACTCAGCGAATGAAGGGTTTTAAATTTCTTGAGTTTGGTGCGGTTCGGGTTACTTGATAGTGGTTCATGAGTGGCACCGAATCTCATATGGGGGGGGGATCAAATTAAAATGGCGTCCTGATTACAACATTTGAAATTTCGACTCACAGCAAATTTACTTAATATAGAAATTGTAAGAATGGGAGTTGGGGGGGGGGGGGGGGCTTACAGGTGCAATGTAAACAGACATCATCTATTTTTTATTGGGACAAAAAATAACTAAAATGGATTTATAATGAAATCTTTACGGATTATCCGTATCTAAACCTACATTCGTTGTAGGTGGATGTGTAAAGCTATTAATGTCGCATCAACTGAAAACACGTGAGACTGGCGACGATGAAGTGACTGAGAGGGTACTAGGATGTCGTCCGACTCTGCTAGAATTGTAGAACTTTTCATTTTCCCAATAATTTGGGTATTGAAAGAAAAAGAATGTAGTTAGTTAGATTTTCGTCTCTAAACCACCCAATTTTTTAAGCTTGCTTCATAAGAATTTGAACTAATTTGTGAAACAGGAAATTTGAAAAATCCCAAACGATTACAAAACTTCGCTCACGAAAACCAAAGCTCGGAAAATTTTTTTCCAGCACAAATCTTTGAAAACCAGCCAAGAAATAAAGTTTTACGGAGGTAGAGATCTGAACGATGGACGTGGCTTATGGGAAAATTTTGACTTTGAGATTAAAATACCTTCATGTGTGGCCTTCTCAGTCCCTCGGCAAATGTTGCAGTGACCCGATTGTTTGCTCAAATACGTCCCAACGGAAAAGAGGCAAACTTCTTTCATGAAAATAGAGGCTAAATCCTAATTTTAAAAACTCAAACATGTATCATAGACAATTGCCTTTTCGTCAAGGCAACACACACGCACATACACACAAAATTCTATTGGCATCAGCAACGTAAACCCAGCCAGCTTCGCTTCTTATTTCCAACTCTGATTACTTTAGGATTGGCGGCTTACTTACAATGGCTTGTTGGAACTTTGGCCACCCAAGGCTATCAAATTAGAAGGTCGGCATTGCTCGTAACTCAAATTTAATTGGGGTTGATCTGATCGTGTATCGGGACACATTAGTACGTTCTTGGTATTGCTTGCTTTTGCCCCGAGTTGATGAGACAACGCCTCCCCATAACATCACTTTAACATCAAGCGATGCATTGAGGTTTAATTTCTGCACCAGTTTGCTTCGAGCACCTATTTTCTCATACCTGACCTCACCACCTCAAACTGCAACACTACCTAAAGTAAATTAATAAGAAAGATATTCGCATTTTCATCGGCCTCATCAACCCAAGTTTATTATAGTAAGTGTCCATCAAAATGAAGGCAAGCTAGAGCTGTTGTTAAAAAGCTTGGATTCTACCAACCCGCATGTTGACCATCTGGCAGCCCCATGGGCAATAATCTCACGATCTCTGGGTTTGAATTCTTGGAATTTGACTATTACGCCCCAATCATCGTCTGGTAATTTCTTTGCCAACAGTCAAAAAATCCCTACACCGACAATTCACTTTATTACCCTTTTTGTGGTTGTAATACAATTTCTGAATGTCTGATTCTGCAAGAAAATTTTTGTTCTTCTTTTTCAAATCTCTGATACACGCACACACACCCAAACAGACACTCTCGAGCACGAAATCATCTTTACACAAAAAATTGTGCGCATGGGTGCTCGCTTTACAATATCTGGCTCCATTCTAAATGTTTTTTCCTAATTATGAGTTTTCATTTTCTCTTTTCGCGTCAGTTGCACAGTAAAAAAGTAGTAGCACATCAAATTTCAGGCTGGGGATCGAATAGATGGGAACTGGAAAAATTAATGGAGGTGAAGGGGAGGAACGGAGCCAGAAAGTAGGCACCACGTTTATCGAGCCAGAACGACTACAACCACTCAAACGAGCATATTTTCACGTACACATGCCCTCTAGAACAGTACAAAATCGGTCGATTGTTTTGTGCGCACATCTCTCTTGGATGGTAGATAATGCGCCCACTTTGATTGGCTGAGGATTGTTCGGGTAGCAAGGTGGAGAGTAAGAAACAGAGGCGAGGGGTGGCACACATTTGAATGTTTCTGAGGTTGGAGTATTGATGGGAGGGGGGGGGGGGGGGGGAGGGAGAGTGATTAGGTTGCTCGAATAAGACTACTGCTTGTAGGCGTGTTGGGAGCGGATTTAGGAGATGGAGGACTTTTAGGGGTGATGCCAGTAGCAACGGTGGGGGGAGTCATGTTTTGTGCTACATTGGTGGCAGCTGCAGTAATTAGAGGTTGCTGACCTTCATCGGTCACAGCGTTTGTCGTCACCGCAATAGCAACGTGAGTGGGATCACCACAGGAAGAACCCCCGCTGCAGCAAGAAGGTGGTGGTGGGGCGGGCTGAGGTTGGGATGGAGGAGGAGCTTCATTGACTAGAATTGGATCATTGTCCACTAGCACTGCACCCGGTGCCGGCGGATATACTATATTTCCGTATTCTCCATGTAACCAATAGGTTTCCATCTTGCCTTTGCCCTGAAGAGAAACAAAGAAATTTAGTTGAAGCTATGATTCCAGAGGGCCAGGTGCCAGAACAGATCGCTAACCTTCATCTCGACGAGTCCACGTTTGGACATTATGAAATTGCCAAATGTACGAAGTATTGACATGGTGGTGCGACTTATGTGGATTCGCTTTGCTGTAAAAATAGAAACGATAGACGGGTTGGGGTTCAGACCTATTTGGTTAAAACTGCTCTTTCAATGCGTAATTTCGCATAATTGTCCCAAATCCAAGACTGTTTAACGAATCGAAAAGAGACCGGCAGAACCAAATATTAAAAGTCCGATAATTTAAAGAATGTCATAAATGTACTAGAATTTGAGCACCATATTGTCAAATTTATAGTCTTAATACAACCTGTAAATAAATGGATTTGTTATTACCACAAAGGGAACAGGCATTCTCGTTGTTATAAGAGAAATCAACACCCATGATCCATTTTCGGGATCACTGCTTTTCACATGCAGAGAACGAATATTTCCAGCACCTAATTCCGATTAGTTTAAGCCTCTTAAAAGACAAGGATGGTTAAAATGAAAATTCTCAGAATTAACACCAGGAATACCGATTTTTCCTGCTGTTTCACCGAACTATTTACGTCCTGCTTTAGCAATGCCTTCAATTGCCCAGACAGTGTAATATCCACAATCTTTGTTAATCAACGGACATACGCTGGTACAGAGCATTTCTAGAGGTTAAAAGTGATTTCTTTCCAATTACACTATAAGGGATACTCCTAGAGGGGTGAAAATAGTCCATTAGAATTTAGTGAAGTGAACGATCCAAAATTTCTATTTTCCAAAGGAGGTGAAAGACTTTTACCAACAGCCAAGTTGAGTGGGGGGGGGGAATAAATCTTTTGGAGAAAGTGTCGGTGATGAAGAAAGTCGTATCAGACTTCCCTTCCCCGTTGACTAGTACTGATTTCTTGCGGTTAGTTATTTGAATCGATGAAGGTGCAACGATCTAGTAACGGCTGATTTGGCAGACACATAGTACAACCCTCCTACCGATACATATTCCAAAGTTAGCAGACTTCGAAAGCTCCGAGGACTACTCACTTTGAATCCCAGTTCTAATAAGTACAGCATCCAGGTCCCTACCGTTTTGCCTCATGAAAAATGGTAAAGTAATTCCACAGGTCCTTAAGCAAAATCGTGTATTGTAGTCAGGACCTACTCTCTTTGCAATTTAAAAGCGAATCCCAAAACGTTATAGATAAAGTTTCAATTTGTTTGCTTTCAACGATTACTTACGTTCACCATTACTTTCCATTCGTGAGGACGTATTAACAGTATCTCCAAAGAGACAGTATCGAGGCATCTTTACACCCACAACACCGGCACAAACAGGGCCTGTTTGAGAAAAAAACATGTAATTAGTTGATTCAATCGAATTGACAAGAAAAAAGACTTTGCAATGAAGAGCTAACCCGAATGTATGCCTATCCGCAATTTCAATTCCCTGTCAGGTCGATGAGGGATCTTAAAGGTGGACATTGATTTGAGAAACTCGATGGCCATTCGAGCAATCTCTCTGGCGTGTTTATTCTCGTTGCGTTGAGGTAGACCAGAAGCAACCATGTAGGCATCACCTATTGTCTCCACTTTGTACACATCGAATCGCACAATGATTGAATCGAAGAGGGTGTAAAGATTGTTCAACAGATCGACCACCTACAAGACGAAAATGAATATGAGAAAGCGATATAAAAAAGTGGTTAACTTTCGGAGTAGCCAAAAATCCCCTAATTCAATAATAGCATGTAATTGCCTCAGTGATGGGCTCTATTCCAACATTCCGCAAGGCAACGACCTTGGAATTTAGACAATTTTAAGAATAACTAACAAGTACTAAGTGGGTCTTCCAAAAATTAGAACTATTAATACTGCAGAATATAGCAACATGCTACTCACTTTCCCTGAAACCCAACCGGACCCAGTTTGCGCTGGAAGTCGTAAGCTATGATAGGAAGTTATAACTATATCAGGTTTAAGTGGATGTCAAGATTCTGAGGAAAACCACCACTTCAAGTATAGGCATTAGACGAAAAATCCACTGCCTCCTTCCAAAACCATCCCAATTCGTTAGATATCTAACAACAAAGTGTTGTCACGCCTTGATATGAGCTCATATTATTCAGTGATCCTTTTAATTAGTCTTGCTTTAAGTCAACTCCCTAATTCTACAAAACGGAGCGATTTATAGGTCACGATCGATGTAAATGGATCAGCTGAAGAGCATATGTAAGGAATGGTTTTCTTTGGCCTCTTCTTGATTGTATAGAACTTTCAAGCAGATTAGAAGTGTTTGAGGAAAGTGAATAAAGGAAAGATAACCTACTGCTGATCTTAAAGATGGAACCGCATTCAACCACAACTCCTGTTGAACAAGTTCAACCAGAGCAGTTGACAACACGCACCATTGAATGTGGACTGATGTGAGTTGATCTCCTAATTGCCAACATGGCAGATGTGCACGTTAACCGATGCGATATGTTAATCCATATTTCAAGAAGCTGAAGCTGATCCAATCGAACCACAGGGTATCTTTAAGCATCGTTTTAAATATAATATCTTCCTTCTGTCCTTCGGCCTCTGTTACCATATTTATTGGGCAAAAATGTCAGCCTGTTATAATTTTTTTTGATTAGTTAGCGGAAGAAGTATAAGCTCCAGTATTTTAAATACATATTTGGTGGTCCCCAAATGTAGCCTAAGTGATACTCTCGCGCCTCAGTTCACCTTCGGCTATACAAACCCGTTTTGGAAAATTAAGCTACTGGCAGATATTTGGACGAAGAAGATATGCTTCCTACCATCAATTGCCGCAACTTCATTACCACAAAAGAGGGAAGAAACGTCCATACAAACCATCAAAACGAAAGGAACAGAAATTACCTGAATAGCACTGGAATCTGCTGAGAGGGAGGTGAATTCGACGATATCACTGAAGTAAATTGTCACCGAATCGAAGCTTTCCGCCTTTACAGCTTGCTTGCGGATCAATTGGCTAGCCACGGATCTGTGTAAAGTGAAGAAGAGAAAATGTGAAGTTTGATAACAAAACGATGCACTAACTTAAGGGAAAACAAGCAGAGTTGGGCTGAAATTGCTAGGACAACCAAATAACTAGAGTTACAAGTCGTAAGGCAT